TTTCATTGTTGTTGTGTTATCAGCAGGAGATGTTACTATAACGTGAAAACGAAAAAAGTTATTGAATATTTTACACTTTGTAGATAAGCCCTGGGCTCAAACCCACGCATTAAAACTAATGGTATTGGTTCTACAAATAGCATTAGTTTAGCCCTTTAGGCCCTAGGCCTTTGTTCTTTGGGCCCTGGCGCCTCCCAATTGGGGCCTTTGGAGTTTCATGTCCCAAGTGTCAGTGATTGTTTGCATTCCCCGAGCACAGCTACAGCTTCAATCAAAACAGTTTAGGTTGTAAACAAAGCATCCATCCATCCATCCATTTTCATCCGCTTATCCGGAGTCGGGTCGCGGGGGCAGTAGGAAGTAGACTTCCTTCTCCCCAGCCACTTGGGTCAGCTCCTCCGGGGGAATCCCAAGGTGTTCCCTGGCCAGGTGAGAGACATAGTCCCTCCACCATGCCATGGGTCTACCTTTAGGTCCCCTCCCAGTTGGACGTGCCCGGAAAACTTCACCAGTTGCCCGAGCCACCTCAACTGGCTCCTCTCGATGTGGAGGAGCAACGTATCTACTCCGAGCCCCTCCCAAATGACCGAGCTTCTTACGCTATCTCTAAGGGAGAGCCCAGCCACTCTTTGGAGAAAACTCATTTCAGCCACTTGTGTCCGCGATCTCATTCTTTCGGTCCCTACCCAAAGCTCATGACCATAGGTGTGGTTAGGAACATAGATCGACCGGTAAATCGAGAGCTTTGCCTTCTGACTCAGCTCTCTCTCCACCACAACAGACCAGTACAACGCCTGCATCACTGCAGTTGCAGCACTAATCCGCCTTTCGATCTCACGCTCCAGTTTTCCCTCACTAGTGAACAAGACCCAAAGATACTTTAAGTCCTCCACTTGGGGCAGGACCTCATCCCTGACCTGGAGAAGACATCCTACCCTTTTCCGAATCAAGACCATGGTCTCAGATTTAGAGGAGCTGATTCTCATCCCAGCTGCCTCACACTCGGCTGCAAATCACTCCAGCAAAAGCTGAAGATCATGTTCTGATGAAGCCAACAGGACCACATCATCTGCAAAAAGCAGAGACCTGATCCTCAGGTCACCAAAACGGATGCCCTCCACACCTTGGCTGCACCTAGAGATCCTGTCCATAAAGGTTATGAACAGAATCGGTGACAAAGGGCAGCCTTGGCGGAGTCCAACTCTCACTGGGAACGAGCCCGACTTACTGCCGGCAATGCGGACCAAGCTCGGACACCGGTCTTACAAGGACCTAACAGCCCGTATCAGAGGGCCTGGTACCCACCCCATACTCCCGGAGTACACCCCACAGGGCCCCCTGAGAGACACGCTCAAATGCCTTCTCCAAATCCACAAAACACATGTACACTGGTTGGGCAAATTCCCACGCACCCTCCAGGATCCCCCTAAGGGTATAGAGCTGGTCCAGTGTTCCACGGCCAGGACGAAAACCACATTGCTCATCCTGAATCTGAGGTTCAACAATCCGATGGACCCTCCTCTCCAGAACCCCTGAATAGACCTTACCAGGAAGGCTCGGGAGTGTGATTCCCCTGCAGTTGGAACACACGCTGCGGCCCCCATTTTTAAATAAGGGGACCACCACCCTGGTCTGCCAGTCCAGTGGGACTGCCCCCGATGTCCACGTGATATTGCGGAGCCGTGTCAGCCAACACAGCCCCACAACATCCAGAGCCTTAAGGAACTCCAGGCGGATCTCATCCACCCCTGGAGCCTTGCCACAGAGGAGCTTTTTAACCACCTCAGTGACCTCAGCACCAGAGATTTGAGAGGCCAACTCAAAGTCCCCAGACTCTAATTCCTCACTGGAAGACGTGTTGGTGGGATTGAGGAGATCTTCGAAGTATTCTGCCCACCAATCCACAACGTCCTGAGTAGAGGTCAGCAGCACACCTCCCCACTATAGATAGTGTTGGTAGTGCACTGCTTTCCCCCTCTGAGACGCCGGATGGTGGACCAGAATCTCCTCAAAGCCATACAGAAGTCTTGCTCCATGGTCTTGCCGAACTCCTCCCATGCCCGGGTTTTTGCCTTGGTGACCACCCGAGCTGCGTTCCTCTTGGACTACCGGTACCTGTCAGCTGCCTCTGGAGTCCCACAGGCCAAAAAAACCTGATAGGTCTCTTTCTTCAGCTTGAACGCATCTCTAACCGCCGGTGTCCACCAGCAGGTTCGGGGGTTGTCACCACGACAGGAACCGACGATCCTGCAACCACAGCTCCGGTCGGCCGCCTCAACAATGGAGGCACTGAAAAGGGTCCATTCAGACTCAATGTCCCCCCTCCTCTCCCGGAACATTTTGGAAGTTCTGTTGGACATGGGAATTGAAGCTCCTTCTGACAAGAGACTCTGCCAGACGTTCCCAGCAGACCCTCGCAATACGTTTGGGCCTGTCTGGTCTGACCTGCATCCTCCCCCACCTTCTGAGCCAACTCACCACCAGGTGTTGATCAGTTGACAGCTCCACCCCTCTCTTCACCCGAGTGTTCAAAACATATGGCCGCAGGTTAGTTGAAACAACAACAAAGTTGATCATCGAGCTTCAGCCTAAGGTATCCTGGTGCCAAGAGCACATATGGACTCCTTTATGTCTGAACATGGTGTTCATTATGGACAATCAATGACTGGCACAGAAGTCCAATAACAAAATGTCACTCGAATTCAGATCGGGGGGGCGTTCCTCCCAACCACACCTCTCTAGGTCTCACTGTCATTGCCAAGGTGAGCGTTAAAGTCTCCCAGCAGAACGAGGCAGTCACCGGAAGGAGCACTTTCCAGCACCCCCTCCAAGGTCTCCAAAAAGGGTGGGTAGTCTGAACTGTAGTTTGATGCACAAGCACAGACCACAGTCAGAACCCGTCCCCCCACACATAGGCGGAGGGAGGCTACTCTCTCATTCACTGGGGTAAACCCCAATGTACAGGCACCAAGATGGGGGGCAACTAGTGTGCCCACCCCTGCTTGGTGCCTCTCAGTGGGAGCAACTCCAGAGTGGTAGAAAGTCCAGCTCCTCTCAAGGAAACTGGTTCCAGAACCAGAGGCATGCATTGAGGTGAGTCTGACTATATCTAGTTGGAACCTTTCAACCTCACACACCAACTCAGGCTCCTTCCCCACCAGAGAGGTGACATTCTATGTGCCAAGAGCCAGCTTCTGTAGCCAAGGATCAGACCGCCAAGGTCCCCGCCCTCGACTACCACCCGTCACACACTGCACCCGACCCCTTTGGCCCCTCCTACGAGTGGTGAGCCCATGGGAAGGGGGACCCACGTTTCCTCTTCGTGCTGTGCCCGGCCGGGCTCCATGGGTGAAAGCCTGGCCACCAGGCGCTTGCCAACGTGCCCCACCTCCAGGCCTGGCTCCAGAGGGGGGCCCCGGTGACCCACGTCCGGGCGAGGGAACACGGTTTCCATTTATATAATTCATCATAAAAGGTCTTCGGGCTGCTCTTTGTCTAATCCCTAAACAAAGCAATTTTTGGTTTTTGATACATTAAGATAAAATAATACTTGAACTTTATTTTAGAAGAGCAGCCCTGTGTGAAAGTGCTGACAGGATGGAGGTTGTGAGTTTAAATTCCATTCAGCAAATTTAGTCAATTGTTTTATTTATTCCAGGGTTCCTCAATTAAATTTGTTCAAGTTTTTTTTTTCCCAGCAGACACAAGAGAAGGTCAGATGCTCTTCCAAAATAAAGTTCAAAAATCATTGTATCTTAATTTATTACAATTGAAAATGACCTTGTTTCCCATATGGGCTGTTTGATTGTGGTTTTAGTTGTGTTTGGAGAATGTGGACAGCTGTATATGTTTGGGACATGAAACTGTACAGGCCCCTAATTGGGGGCCGTTAGGGTTAAACAGGTTAGATATCTGGTGGTTATTCCTAACCCAACGGCAACTTAGTGTGGTTTACAATAGCAAGAACATACAAAACAAACATGAAGCATGGAATTACATATAAAACACTGAAGATTAGAAATAAAAGTGGCTGGTGATTAGTGATAGTGCTGTCAGTAGGTAAGAAGCTCAGGAGGTAGGTTCAGCAGTGTAAAGAAAAGTAAAGAAAATAATATTTATGGGATGGATACCTCATTTTTTAAAAAGACACGAGGGTATCTTGTGTTCACCTCTAACTGAGGCAATACATCAGTCAATCAGTGACAGTCTTTTCCCCGCTGTGCTGAAAATAAGCATAATCACACCAGTGTATAAACCTGGGGATAAGAAGGAGGTTAGCAGCTATGGAGCAATTAGTACCCTTCCTATATTCTCTAAAATCTATGAAGAAATAAGAGCAGAACACCTGAGTGAATACTTTGCAATGTGGGTTTATAACTGAACATTTTATTTTTACTATTTATTTTATTAAAGCAATAAAATCTAGTCTTGATCTAAGAGGAGTGGTGGGAAAGGTGTTTCTTGACCTCAGAAAGACTTTTGACATGCAGTCATGACATACATTTGAACAAGCTTGAGGACTTACGTCTTTCTAGTCAGACACTGATCTGGTTTATGTCATACCTCAGTGACAGACAGCAGAGTGTAAGCAGACAGCAGTAGGCCAAGAGGTTGTGCAGGCTGTCTCAGGAGGTAGAGCAGGTTGTCCAGTAATCAGAAAGTTGTAGGAGCGATCCCGGCCCCTGACAGAAAATGCTTCTGTGTTCTTGGGCATGACACTTAACACAACTTGGCTGCTGGTGATGGTCGGAGGGACCAGTGGCACATGTGCTCAGCAGCCTGGCTTCTGTCAGTGTGCCCTGGGGTAGCTGTGGCTCACTGTAATAAAAGCAACTTATGTTGTTTGAGATGAAAAAGTATTTTATGTTGTTTAAACTTAAAACCCATTTTTCACGAATTAAGTGCAATAAATTAAGTCAGCCCGACAAACCAAATTAGTTGTGTGCTTCACCAATATTAAGTGAGTCGTATGAACTTACATATTTAAGTTGGACTTCATAATGTCGTGCCCAAGTTCTGCTAACGTCCATGCTTTTGTTGTGAAATGCGGGAAAGTCAACTTTTGGAGTTGGAGGAGTCAGTCTCATTCTGCGTGTGGTCGGAGGCAAAGGAGGCTGCATAGGTAAGTTTTCCCCTTTTTCCTGGGTTCAAATTATGTTAAAAATAAATTATGAATATGTTTTGTGCTATATAAAGGTAGCCTACACGCATAAACAACTTTTACAGGTGATTTTTTTAAGGTAAGGCTGTCGGCGGTTGAGATTTATGCTATAGGCTATATTCTGCAACTAGCCTGTACTTAAAAAACATGGACCTCTGTAACTAACTGTTTCATTTCGTACTTGTTTATAGTTTGAAATGATATCTGCTATACCACTAATAATATTTCAATTTCTTTTGATAAACAAGCTAAATATTGAGAGAATAATTGCTAACTCACATTGCTAATGGCTAATGTAGCAACAGCAGCTAGCAATTAGTGTCGAATGTACGTTGACTTAAAAACTACAAAATTATGCTTTAGTACACTTTACACCCATAGACGGTGGAGCAGATTTAGCACTGGGACGGAGCAGTGGGACTGCGGGGCAGACAACACCGAGGAGCGGGACGAAGGAGCAAACACCGATAGACGGCGGAGGAAATACATAGAGCAACGGGACGTAGAAGCAGGACGTGGAGGCGCCAGCCCAAACGCGGAGGAGCCAGTCCAAACACTGGCAAACAGTGCACCAACGCAGAGCTGTGGGTCCAAACACTTTAACTCTGGACCAGGCTGCTTAGAGGTGAGTTTCTGTTCTCAATTTTTTTTTCTTTTCTGCTCTTTTTTTACATTTTGTCATATAACTTAATCAGGTGTCTGCAAGAAATATATGATATGGCCCACCTCTAGATGAAATACATTTTTTTACATTAATTATAAATATATAATTTAAAAGTGCCTGTGGGACATTTGATACACCTGTAGCTCTCAACTGTGTGTGTGTGTGTGTGTGTGTGTGTGTGTGTGTGTGTGTGTGTGTGTGTGTGTGTCAGCAGACAGCTGTACCAGTGTTTCTAAAGCTCAGGCTGGTAGAGAATAGGCACTAAAGTTAAAGTTTGACAAGAATCAATACATTTTTATGCATTTAATCTACAGATTTTTGTATATAATTTCTCAAGACAGCTTGAAGTGAGTTAACTTGTAAATAATTTACAGGAGGAAAAAATATAGAGATGTATATCGTATATCGGAATTCAGCTAAAAGATATTGAGATATCAGTTTTGGTCCACATTGCCCAGACCTACAATAAAGCATTAACATTTTTTTTCCATCTCTTCTTAAAAGGCTACTGACCCAGAGGAGGAGCAGACAAGAGGTCTCTCCGTGGGTATCCTCACTGTGCTGGAGGATAACTGGACTTCACCTGTTGTAAATGTGATGAACCTTGCTGTGGTTGTTGAAGAAACAATCATCCTTCAGGACCTCCCAGATCTGCCAACGGCTTTTGGCTTTGTCTTTGGGTTGATCTATGTCTTAAACCTTCAATACCCAAAAGATCTCAGGTACACCTTTGAAACGGTTCAGAAAATCTTTATGGGACTTGGGACAGATCTCTCGGCAAGGGTAAGATCCCTCAAAAACAGGCTTTTTCTATGAATCCTATATGGTAGCTGTTGGATGTACCTTACCTTTTTTTTCTTTAATGACTTGCAGTTTTTCAGTTTTGGGCTTACTTAAATTTAGAGTTCAAGTCATTGTTTCCACTGTTGCCACTTTAATAAAAAGACAGTTTTATACAAAAAAAATTATATAAATTTTTATTTGTAATGCTATGCTAGATAGTTTTATGTTTTACTGGAGTTTCTCTTAAAATGTGTGATACAAGGTCAGCATTTTGTTTGTTCCTGTTCAGCCAGTTATTCTGGAGTTGGGCTACTCAACCAGGTACACGCCAGGGTCTTGTAATTGCACATTAAAGTACATAAGTTTAAAATAATTTAGTCTTACAGCTGGTCTCACGGCTAGATGTGTTGGGCTTCCTACAGTTTTAGTTCAGCTTTTTCAGCTGTTCTGTATCAAACAGATCTTAATGTTTTAATACCAATATTGTCGGTCAAGATAAGTTTTATGCTCCATAGCTTAACTTGTGTAGTGTTTTACTAAGCATTCTCAGTTTTTGGGAAGTGCTACACATGGTGTTTAACATGATGTGACAAAAGTTCAAAATAAAAACACTTTTGTCATTGGCATCTGAATTTGCTTTTGTTTAGAATTTGCTGTTTAAACCCATCTGTTACATTATTAAGTGTGGTCTGTTCAATTCAATTCAATTCAATTCAAATTCAATTCAAAAATACTTTATTAATCCCAGAGGGAAATTGATTGCTGTAGTATCTCAGAATAATAATAATAATCAAGTCATCAAAGAGTTGTTGTATATTACAATGGCTGTTGAAAGGAAGGATCTCCAGTAGCGGTCAGTGTTGCAGCCAAACTGAAGAAGCCTCTGACTGAAGACACTCTTCCGTTGTCGGACAGTCTTGTGAAGAGAACGCTCAGGGTTGTCCATCATTTTCTTGATTCTCTGGAGAATCCTTCTTTGCATTATCTCCTCCAGCGGTTCCGAAACTGCCGAAACTCTGGCTGAGTCCTTGAAAGGGCTTGGAGTTCCTCCATCTTGTTGGCCAGTGATCTCACATCGCCCGTTATGATCGATGGAAGAGATGGTTTGAATTTCCTCTTTCTCTGTCTCCGTTTTGCTCCCGCTCTGCACCCACGCTTCTTGCGTTTTAGCTCATTTGGGATTTGTGGCTTCAGTTGAGGTATTATTTCAGCCTTTCCAGTGTTAATCAGCTGCTCCCGATTGTAAACCAGCTTGTTGCCATGGCTACGCATCATAACAAATGCTCAAAAAGTGAAAAAAAGCTAAAAAATAGCAGTAAAAATCCTCCAAGCTTCACAGCACCAGAGACAGAAAAGTAAAGTGTCCAAAAAAATTGTTTTTCCTGAGAAACTAGAAGAAAAAATGCCCAAGAAAAGGCAAAACTTACATATAGTCAACAGAGCTACTCCAACATGCAGCCACCTAGAGCAGCGCGGTTCTGGAAAAAAAAAAAAAAAAAAAAGACATTTTCCTATACTGTTTAATAACGGAGTTGGTGTATGCAATATATACATGAGGTGGTAATTCAACTTTTTGCTGTGAAATGTGTTAAAAGTTGCAGCAAGTTGTAGTGGAGTAAGCTAAGGTCACAATTAAAAGTTGTTGAAATGTAAAATGTTATGCCTCAATAACTTAGATGAGTTTGGAAAAGTCAAAAATAATAGCTGGTGCAATGCTAAATTTTAAGTAAGTGGAACTTTTAAAATTGAGGTATAAATTAGGATTTACAGTCAGTACTATTTAAAATTTTAAGTTTTTACAACTTTAAATTGGGTAACAAAAACTTGGGATTCAAAGTTGCTTCAACATATACTTGAGTTAGATAAACTCAGGTTTCATACTTATTACAGTTTAAAATTGTGAGTCTTTCCAACTTATAACTAAGTTAGCAAAACTTAGAATTGAGAGTTTGTCAAAATCAAATCATAACTTAGAATATTAAGTTTATGCGCCAAACTTAAAATTTTCCTGAAGTTTGTTGCCTCAAAATTTTGAGTTTTCCCAACTTTTTTTTACAGTGTGTGTGTGTGTGAATGGATGAATGATACCCTGCAGTGTAAAGCGCTTTAGAGTCCTCTGACCTTGAAAGACACTATACAAATGCAGGTCATTTATAATTTTAAACTATAATATCTCCACTTAAATACTAAACAACAGGAATACTTCAGGGCTCCATTTTGGGCCCATTGCTTTTTAGTATTGGCATTAATGATGCCCCCTTGGTTTCCACTGCTATTATCATCATTCATGCAGATGATACAGTGGTGTTTGTTCATGTAAATTAAAAGTGAAGTGGTAGCTACGGTAACTAATCAAATGCATAAAGTTGCTGACTGGTTCTGTCAAAACACATTAAAACAATAAAGCTAATGATTCTGATTCTGAAATACAGACAAAACAGCTGTAATGCATTTCAAAAGCCCAGTTAAACACTTTTATTAGATAGGAAGAAAATTAAAAAAATGTTTTATTTATTATATTTAATTTACCTGTTTACTCCTGGATTCAATGTTGACATTTAGAAAGCATGTACAGAAACTTTGGAATGTTATAATGTTTAGTCTAGCTAACTGTATAAGGGAGTGCATTACCACCAAGACATCTTATGTATACCTAATTTCTATATACGGTACATTGAGTTGGTCATAAGGCAGTAGAACGGCTATGGTGTCTCTTGAGTCACATATAAATATGTGTTGAAGATCCAGAAACCCTGGCAGTATCACCAATAGTCCATCCTCTCTAAATTTGAAATGCTTAATTTAGAAAATTTCTTATGTCATGCTAATGTTTGCCTACTTTTAAAATTATCAAAAGTTGTTAGAATTTCTGGCGAAAATTGTGATTTTATGTGATGACAAAATGCCCTGAGCCTCCAGATCCACCATTAGAGGGGAATGCTGCTTTCCAAAACGTAAAACGGCTTTTGCCAGATCAGCTTTTTACATGGTCAAATGGATCTATAGAATACATTGCCCACAGAGATTTTAAAATGTACTATTTTTTGTAATGAGTGTTAATTACATTTAATTAAGGACCATCCCTCTGGGATTAATAAAGTAATGATTGATTGATTGATTGATTGATTGATTGATTGATTGATTGATAAGACATTAAAAATTCATATTGAGTATGAATTCCATCTTATGGACCCTGGGTTATTTAAATCAGAAGATTGGATCTTTTTATTGCAGGGGTTTAGATAAAACTTTGTATTAACTGAGAGAAAAGAGAAGAGAGAGAGACCTTCAAACATTTAAGGAAATTAATTACTAAATAATTTTAAACAAGTTAACAAGACTAACTCTAATGATGGATGTTCTGTTTGAATGAGGTGTGAGATGGTTGGTGTGTGTGTGAATGAGTGTTAAATTCAGAACCCTCGTATCCGGAGAAACAAAGTTTGAGTGGGAGATGATGTTTTGCTCTAACTGATCAAAGTTTGAGACTTGTAGTCATAAACACATGATACGCCATTTATGTCACATCCACATACTCTCAGTGAGACCTCCGTACATATCCGGATGCCAGGTCCACGACCCTCCTCTGGTACTGGAACCGATGAAGCAGCATCGACAGTACGACAAACCAGTCTTTGGATTGTCTCCAGGTAAAAAGCGTCAGGTGTTTCACAGCATCAAAAAGGGGACCCTACTTGGGTCAGCGAGTTCAGCTTTTATTCTGAAAGGTACCGTTGCTTGGTTGGTAACAAAACAACAGAATTTTCCCAGCTTGAATGGTTCTCAGCTTAAAAAGAGACGTACAGATGGCCGGTCATATACTTCACTTAACATGCGGTGAACTTCATGGGATCTTGAGAACGAGATCTTAAGAACTGAACTTAAGATGGCGTTGGAACTGTTTTATTAATGTGGATGTTTTTGATTCTGGACGAATCAAAGCTGACAGGTTTAATAAACACCACAGAGACTCTGCCACGCTTCAGACTAGGAAGGCTCTGATTGGATCAGTACATCAATGTGTCATGTGATGGTTTTCCTTACATTTGTCAGTGTGTCTAGTGAACTAGATTAAGTCATATTACTTATTAAAACATATTAATCATAATAATGTGATTTCACAGATCGGTCACATTGTATTATTGACTAACAGTTTTTTTGATTAGCTTTATTGAAAATACAGTTCTTTGATTTAATAAAAGAAAAGAGTCTCTTCATCTTCTGTCTTCGGTGCTGGAAAGTAAACAGTTTAGAAGTGAATGCATGACCTTGAGGCTGTTTCATGCGCTCTGGTGCTGTGTCAAAGGGAACTGTGGAAAAGGTTAAATAACCTTGTAGGAATAGCTCCTTCATCAAATTACATTTAAAAGTTGCTCACTGTATTTTTTCTTTTATTTGACGGCACCATCTTTTGGCTGACAAGCATATTACATCATAAGCTGGTTTAATTTTCGTATTTAAAGGCCTCATGTGTGAAATACATTGAAATCATGATAAAAAAAAATCTGACTATTTAGCGCCATGCAGTTCAGAGAAAGTATTGCAGCTATGGTAGCCCACTCATGAGCTTGATGTTATAATCAATTTTCTATTTATATATATATATATATATATATATATATATATATATATATATATATATATATATATATATGCAGATTAAGCTCCACATTCAGCGTGTGTTTCCTCAGCAAACATGGAAAACATGTCCAGAATCCAAGATGGCTGCTGCAGCAGAGCACTGTTTTGTTGTTTGAGTGAATGGACTCCTATCCATATTATTCTGCAACTTTGCTACAAACGATAGTCTGATAGTTGTCAGGAGCAAGATCTGTTGAATACGAGGCCACAGGAAACTCTATGTGATCTGGATGATGTTGGATGGACTAACGGAGGCCTAAGTCTACCTGGAAGTCACCTGCCTTGTCTAAGGTTTGGACTTGAGAAATATCTACTATGAATTTCTGCAATGAAAGGAACATTATTTTCCACTCTAAGTCATGATCAAGATCTGTTGGGGAAGAAGAATCCACAGGGAATTGTATTTTGCTAGGATGGTGTTGGCTTAAGCTAACCAAGGCCTATACTGTAGCTACTTGGAAGCCTCCTGCTCTGTAAACAGTTTGAAACCTGGCTCTTCAGCCCTATTAACGCATCACTGCAGCTAAGGCAAGATTATCTGGTACTTTGCGTTGCAGTTACTTGCTCTGTGGGGAAATATTGGAGTAAATCG